GACTGGGGTGAAATGATATCTCATAGTTGTTTTAATTTGCATCTCTCTTAGGGCTAGGGATTTTGAGCATTTCTTCATGTGTTTGTTAGCCATCTGAGTGTCGTCTTCGGTGAAGTGCCTGTTCATATCCTGTGCCCATTTTTCTATTGGATTATTTACCTTTATCTTGTTGTGGTTATTAAGCATTAAAATTAAAGGCTATTCATATTCAACAGATGCAGTACTTGATATTACAAAATCTCATAGACTATTGTGCTCTTTAGAGTATGCATATGGAACACTCATATTTAATCCTTAACAGAGTTAATATTTTGTAAATTTACAGTAATAATTCAGAGAGCTTGACAATGACTAGGGATGATAGAAGAATTGATGCCTTTGAGCTGTGGTATTGGAGAAGAGTATTGGATATACCGTGCACTGCTAAGAGAATAAAAAGGTTCATCCTGGAGAGGGTGAAATCAGGCTGCTCCTTGGAGGCAAGGATTCTGAAGCTTCGTCTGACATACTTTGGACATGTTGCAAGGAAGGACCAATTCTTGGAGAGGGATATTGTGCTTGGGAGGGTGAAGGGACAGCACAGGAGAGGAAGACTCTAGATGAACTGGATTGATTCAGTGACTGGGGTAATGGAGTAGGTGTGTCAGAGACAATAAGACTGGCACAGGATAGAGCAGGGTTCAGGGCTATTGTCCATAGGATCGCTATGAGTCCCAGGTGACTCAATGGCACATAACAACAACAACAGTAGTACTTATTACTTCAACATCATTTCAATGTATAATGTATTCAGGATTTGTATTTATGCATTTATATCTTTTATACCCTATTAGTTGGAATTAACACATGCCAAGAATCTATCTTCTATTATTGTTGTTGCTGATAATGTAAGCATTATGTTGGTTTTTGTCAAAGGTGATTTAAAGTTGCAAGTTAAGAGTAGCTACAGTGTATTCTTAAGATAAAATCAGAGAAATAGCTACTCAGTTTCTGAGTATGAACCCTGCTGGTTCAGATGAGTTTTTGTACTTTAGTCTTAATTCTGCTTTTTTCTTTTAAAAACAAATTTTGTTTATGTTGAAAATATACACAGCAAAACATATGACAATTTAACTGTTAACAATTCAATTTAGTGACACTGATTACATTCTTAGAGTAGTTCAACCATTTTTTACATTTCTAAGTTGTTCCTTCTCTATTAACTCAATGCTCCTTCAAGTTCTTACTAATCTTTCCAATTGCTGTTGTTCACTTTGAGCCTGGATTGACAGATTCTTAAAAGAGCACAATGCTCAAAGTAGACAGTTTTTTACTAGCTAAGCTAAAATGATTGTTTAGTTTTAAGAAAATCTCAGGGGATCTTTTCGTCTTATAATTTAAAGATCATTTCAGAACAACATGTTTCCAGGGTTACAATCAGTCCTCTTGGGACCAGAAAGTCTACAGTCCAGGAGAATTTGAATTGTCAATCATTTCCCTGCTTTTAATCAGTATTCTTCTATAGAAATATTGATCAAAATGTTTAGTAATGGGAAAGTCTCACTACCAGCTAAGAAAAAGCAGGTATGCAGTGTGCATCCTTCAGGGCCAGAGATTTATAGCAGCAGCAGCAGTAGTAGTGCCTGAAGCAGGACCAGTGCCTTGATGTGAAGATGAAGCTGACTTTGGGATTGCTACCCTCCATGGAACCAGACCTAAGAGCCTTTGCCCAACTTTGTTTGGAAGAGTAGGTAGGTGGAGGGGAGAGGTGGGAAGAGCCATAATTTGCAGGACTGGGAGCTTTGTAACACTGGCTGCAAGGCTCAAGGCTCAGGTGACTGTGAGCACATTTTGGAAGCTGTCCTGACTGACTGTATTCTGCTACTAAACTGAATTATTGCCTTTTGTTGACTTAAAAAAAAAGGTTTAGTAATGGTAGTCAAGTACCACACAGTTGTTCAGGAAAGCAATTAGCCAAATAGTCCGTATCTTCTTCGTATTCCTGTCTTTCTTCTTGTGTTGTCCCAGGTGAATACAGATCATCTATTGTACCCTGCGAGAATTTAAGACCCCAGGTACTTTGTGGAAAAACTAAAAGGTAGAACAGAAGCCGTAAACAAGTCATTAGGCTAACTGCCTATTAACTGGGGGATGGACAATCTCATTCCGTGCAATATTCTGTTTCTGAAATCGGATGGAGGGTCAGTTATGTATTGGTTCTGATTCAATAGTACTCAACAATAACAATTATCCTGAACCTCTAAACCAAGGAAATAGATTTTATGAGGGTTTTTGTTGTACATAAACATCTTCAACAGCTACTTAGTTGGGAGTTTTTGTTTTGTTTGGTTTGGTTTTCCCATTGTTGTAAACATACTGATCCTACAGCCTTTACAAGTTGAATATTTTACAAGTGTACAGCTTGTTGACAGCAATTAATTAGTTGTGCAATCTCACTCTTAATATAACCTTT